ATCATGCCATTGCACTCCAGCCTGAGTGACAGAGTGAGACTGTCTCAAAAGACTCGCCCTGGAAAACAATGTGCAAGCCAAATCTGGCCACACACTAAGAAAGTTTCTGAGTACTTTAAAGGGTTAAAAAATAGTAACAAATAACATGTGACAGAGACTGTGTCACTGCAAGCCCAAAATATTTACTACCTGACCCTTCCCAGGATAAGGAAAGCTGCCACCACCACACCTGGCACTAGGTAGGGGAGGTGGGGATGTAGCTTCTCCAGGCACTCAGTGACACATGTGCACAAGGACGGGAGCTTCAGGGGCTTCCTTGGCAGTGGGTGGCAGACAGGCTCTTCCCGTCACTCCCATCAAAAGCAGCTCCACTTTATGGGTTTTATATAGTGGGGTTCTGTGGGAGACTTCACTTTTAGAAAGTGTCCTTTTCCTTAAAGTCTAGAACTGGTCAGGCCAGTGGCTCACACCTGTAATCCTAGCACTTTGGGAGGCTGGGGCAGGAGAATCACTTGAGCTCAGAAGTTTGAAACCAGCCTGGGCAACATAGTGAGACCTCATTTCTGTGTATATAAAAACATTTTTAAGAAAAGTTTTTCAGAAAGGTAAAACTATTCTTGGTTTGCAGAGTGTACGAACACAGGTGGCAGGCCATACTTGACCTACAGGCTGGACTTCTGGGTGAGATGGATAGTTTCACTTTCTACATGGTTGGGGTCAAAAATACCAAAAGATGACTATTTCATGACATGTGAAATCCCAATTTCCAGCATTAAGTTTTACTGACATGCAGCCAGCTCCCTGGTTTACGCTGTCCGTGGCTGCTCCCATGCTGCAACAGCAGAGCTGAGATGCTGTGACAGAGACAGTGCTCGGCACCCTGCTAAAGCCAGCTCCTGGAGTGAGGGCCTGATTTGCCCTCTTGGCCTGCAATGTCTCAAATATTCACCTGGCCCCTTACAGCAAGTTTACCTGCCCTAGACCTGACCCAACTCCTAGCCCAGAGACTTTTTAAGCCACGAAAACTGAGGCCCAGAGCATAAAAAGACTACCCAGGTTCTCACAGAGCATTCATGGCAGGACAGAGGTCTCCTCTGAGTGTTCAAACAGAGGCAGCCAGAGGACAAAGGAAAAAGGGAATGAGACAGAAGGCAGGAGAGATGACAGTGGCCTGTAACCTGGTGGATATCACCCCCACACCAAGGAGTGCAAAGGGCTGTGCATTAAACCAGGAGGGGGAGAGCTTCCAGCATCAAAGTACCACATAAACCTAAGTGACTGTGGTCCCCATAAGATATGGCTGGCTTCTAGTGCTTCAGTTGGTGACACTGTAAGCAATATTGGCTCTGTTTATTTCAGTGATGCTTACAATATGTCACTCTGACTTCTAACTGGCCCCATCTTGCCACTCCCTCATAGAACCTTCTAGTCCTGGCCTGGCCTGGCATCAGTGCTGGTGTGCTAATAATGGTGATGCAGTTTCTCGTAGCTGCAAACTGGAGGTGCTCACCTGTCAAAGGGAGTCTCCAAAATAAATGTGGTAAATGAAATCCTGGTATCACTCTGGCTAATCTGCTTTGTGTATTCCTAAAGTCCTGGGCAGAGGCTGGGCATGGTGGTTCACACCTGTAATCCCAGCACTTTGGGGGGCCGAGGCAGGCAGATCACTTGAGATCAGGAGTTTGAGATGAGCCTGGGGAATATGGTGAAACCCTGTTTCTACTAAAAATATAAAAACAGCCAGGTGTGGTGGCGCACACCTATAGTCCCAGCCCCTCGGGAGGCTGAGGTAGGAGAACTGCTTGAACCTAGGAGGCAGAGGTTGCAGTGAGCCAAGATCATGCCACTATACTCCAGCCTGGCGACAGAGCAAGACTCCGTCTCAAAAAACCCCCCAAAACAAAGTCTTGGGTACAAAGAGCAGAAGGAGCCCTCTAAGATCCCAGGTGAAGCTGTGAGGGCCTGGTTGGCAGAATCTGGCTCGTGTGGGAGGCACTTACTCAGCTGACTTCCAGAAGTGCCCGGGGTGGGAGAGCCGCCGGTTCAGCTTGGGAAGTTTCTCCAGCATGTCCATCAGCAGGCTGAAGCTGGGTCTCTCCTGCAGGTTGAAAGCCCAGCAGGCCGACAGGATCTCCTGCAAATGGAGCTGCCGTCAGTGGTGCATGAGCCGGCTGGGAGGGAGGGGGCACACAGTAGGGGCTCCACGAAGCATCCCTTCGGTG